AAATTCCATCAATTTGTTCTGTGGATATGGTGAAAAATGTAAAATCGGCCCGCAAATCAGTTCTCGAGCCCTGATCTTTCCAAAAAAGTTATATGTTCATTGCTTTAATATAAGGAATTCATATATGAAATTTCAATTAAATCGGTTGATTATTTCTCTTTGTATACACAAAAATGTATACTTGGCCCGTAGTAAACGCCCAGTTGCTGATGCCTGATTTCTTCCAAAAGTTAGGAATTTTTGCGTATGATCGAGCAAAGGTTATATATGAAATTTCAAGTAAATGGGTTGAATACTTTCTTCAAAATGGTGAAAAATGTAAAATCGGCCCGCAAATCCGTTTTTGAGCCCTGATCTTTCCAAAAAATTTATATGTTCATTATTTTAATACGAGGAGTTCATATATTAAATTTCAATTAAATCGGTTGATTATTTCTCTTTATATACACAAAAATGTATATTTGGCCCGTAGTAAACGTCTAGTTTCCGATGCCTGATTTCTTCCAAAACATACGAATTTTTGCGGACGGTCAAGCTGAGCTTATATGTAAAATTTCAAGTAAATCGGTTGAATATTTTCTTCAAAATGTTCAAAAATGTAAAACAGGCCCGCTAAAAAGTGCAGTTCCCGAGGCCTGATATATACCAAAAGTTGATCGATCCGTGCCATGGTGGAAACAAACTTACATATAAAATTTCATCAAAATCGGTTCAGCCGAACTTGAGATACACGCGTGCACACACAGACCGACAGACGGACAGACCGACAGACCGACAGACCGACAGACCGACAGACCGACAGACCGACAGGTTGCTAAAAATAGTTTATTTACACTTCCCTACTATGGAGAAGTACCTTCCCACCGAAAACTCGATATGCAAAATTTGTTGCCATCACATAACCTACCTATTGTTTACACAATACGGTCGGTAAAAATGCGACGAGAGGCAAAACTAAAAATTGGCAAAATTTATTTGTAACTAAATAAAATCGTGCACATACATACATTACATACATATATATATATAATATATAAGTGTGTGTGCATGTTTATTACATACATAATCATCTTTTATATTTTCAAATTAATGTTAGTTTTTATGTAAGAATAGTTGGTAATAAATCTATAAAAATCGTCATATATTAAAACAAAACAAAAAGGTTTCTTCTTTGAGGATACTTAAAAAAGTTTTTAAAAAATATTCTTGCCTACTCCCCACAGTCCCCTCCCCCCTCTTACTTACATTTGAACAAAAATAATAAGAAAAAAGTCAAAATTGTCCACATAAAACTTCGGTTTTTCCTTTTAATAGCATCCTTAAAAAACAAACATTGATGGGCTTTTTTCAATAAAATATGGTTATAAAAGAAAATTATGTAATAAATTTGTATAATTTTTTTTTTTCAGACTTTAAAGTGCTTAACAAATCAATTTTAATTTATGTGGCAAAAATTTTTGGATTAATATTAATTTAAAATTTATTCTACAATCTCAAATTTTGGTTACATTGCTTGTATACTTATGTAGGAAATTATTGTTGGGAGAAAATCTTGTAAATCCTTGTAAAATAGAGCAGAACATTTGTGACACTTGAACATTTTGTTAGTTATGTAGGAGTCAAAACCTTTCATCGGATCAGGTATGAAAATTATAAATAATTATCAGTATGAATGTAATTAAAATGGAGTACCTACTAAATCCAATAATGTCTAATTAATAACATTAAAGTGAAACAATTTAAATACCCAGTATTTACAAAAATCGAGCTATAAAAAGTAACTAAGTAAGTATTATCTTACTTTACTTTCGACAAAGTATTTTTGGCAATAATTTAAGAAGCACGAAATTTCGGTCGTGATATTCTAAGCACTTCAAGTATAATTAATTATTGTACATGTCATTTAAAAATTTGTCAGTTTGAAAATCAGGCCAACAGATAATTAAAATTCGAAAAAATAAATACGAGTATGTTGAATTCTTAAAATAAATCAATAGTTGACGTAGTAACATGTCATTTTTACATAAATAAGTAAATTTGGGCTGTCAAAACTATCAATTTTAAGAGAAAGTTATCAAGTTTTTACTGAGTTAAAATCTGCAAAATTCTAATATGAGAACTTTCTAGTAAAAAAAAGCAAAATCAATTGTTTTGTTAAATGCTGAAGAACCTTTTTCATAATCCGTCATAATGAAAATTTCAATTTTAGAATATCGGCTTTTCAACCAATTTCACAAAACAATGTTATATGAAGTATGCCAAAAATGGCAATACTTGAGATTAGTATTTTGAAGAATACCGTGCTGATCATTAGATTTTTTAAGTCCGCCCTACTATTTTTAAGACATATATATATAAAATCTATAAGTATATTATTAAAATTAAAATAAATTAAGACTACGCATTAAATAATTAGCCAAACTCAGAAAAAGAGAGAAAAAATAAACTTTTGTAAGTGATTTAATTAATTAAAATATGCAATTTTTGCTAAATAAGCCTCAATTCAAGAATAAATGTATGTAAATGGATAATTAGAAAAATTTCTTTTAGTTGTTATGCTAATCAGGACATAATCAAATAGGAAAAAATTTATTAGAAAAAATTTCAATCTTTTCTTATTTTATTTTTCTGGTTTTCTCAATGTCCTTTCCTACATATTTAGTCGTCTATGATAAAAACTAGGAAAAATTTAATAAAAAAAAAAATCTTGTTACTTTTCAAAAGGAATAAATTAAATTTTTTCTTCTCTTAATTAAATTATGAAAAATATTTTCTCTCTTTTTACTTTGGTTACTTCTTGGTACTTTTTTGTACATGGTTATAGAATCAAAGAAAAAAAAAGGAGTCCTAACGAGATTTTCAAACCAAATTAATTAAGTTGTCGAAAACTTTTATACCGTCTTTGCTTAAAAAAATTTCTTCCCTTTTTTTGCTTATTTTATTAAAAATTTTGAATGGTTGTAATTTTAAGAGAAACAAGGAACACCACCGTACACAACAAAAAAGTAACAAGCAAGAAAACCAAGAAATAAAAAAATTTTTTTTTTATTTTATTTTTTTGTTTGTGCTCAAATTTTCTGGAGTGTATTAAAACAGAGTGGTCACCAAAAAAAAATTTATTTCAATAATAATTAAAAATGAAAAAATGAAATTAATAATAATAATAAAAAAAAAAAGAAATAAAATAAAATGTGGGGCCTTGGCTCTGCTACAAGAAAATAAGAAACGAATCGCATTTAAAACAAAAAACTTGCAAATTTTAAAAAATAAAGCAAAAAGAAAAAATACAAATGAAAACAATTTGTGCTCTAAAATTTTAGGTTTTTTTTTTTTTTGGTGTGGCACAGCGCGTTTTTGTCAGATTTTTACTTTTTGTTTTCCTTTTAATTCCATGAAATCTAAAAACTACTTTAAATATGTGTATGTATATATGTAGTATATAGACAAATATGGGAGTCAAAGTTACCGGTGGCTTAAATTTTCTAATAAAGTACATAAATTTTTGAAAATATTGAGAAATTTTGAAATATTTTTGAAATAATTAAAAAAAATACGAAAATATGCTAAAAGAGGGAGGTTTTTTAGTTATTTTTATAATTTTAAACTATTTTGCATAAGCGTATAACAATTGATTTTATCATATCCAAGTTTATTTGCTTGTAACGTTACTACAAAGTTGTATATCAGACGTATTTCTTAGGCCAAGCATGAATTATCAATTTCGTGTAAATTAATATTGCACGAAAGAGCCAAATCATCATTTATAGACGCACAAAAATGCAGCTATCAGATTGCCTAGCAAATGGTAATGAAGAGTACATTAAACACACTGAAAATTTGTTTAGTAAAAAGAATGCCAAGCTGAATTCTTTAGAAGTAAAAATTTACTGAAAAATGTAATATTAATGCTTATAGGTATGCGTTTGATAAATTTCCCATACTAAATTCGTTTTAATCGCTAAATCGTTTTAATTATTAAAGCTATCACCTTTCGTTATTATTTGTCATCAACTACCTTTTCTATTGGGTTGAAATGAGTACCTTCGATTAATTAATAATTTCATTTCATAACGAAAAACAAAAATAAAATGGAAAACAATACAATTTGTACCGCAAACAATTACATATATGATAGTTCATAATCTAACCACCAGATATACGTTTTGAAAGTGAAGTTTTTATTTATTAATGTCACACAGTTAATTTTTTTCAAACGTTTAAGATTATTCTCCCATTAATACATATTTTAAAATTTTTAATAAATGATGGCAACTCTATTATTTAATTTTAGTTTTATAAAAATGTAAGACCAAAAGCAAAAAATAACAAAAATAAAAATAATAATGTGTTCTTTATAATAATTTTTTTTTTTATTTTTCATTTTTAAAATTTACCTGTTGTTATGATAGAGTAACTGGAGAAACCATTTTTAGTAAATGGCGAAAATAATCCAATTAGCAGAAGCACTAAGCCAAATCGTAAAAACGAAAAAAGCGCCATATAAGATGAAAATTAAACATTTGGAGTAATGTTGATTTTTATACTGCACCGATAGTAATAGTGCTTGAATGATTTCTTGAGTTGTTGTTGTTGTTGTTGTTCTCCTTCTTCTTTATACTTCTTATATTGACGACAATATTGATGTTGATCTTGATGTTGTTGATGATAATGATAATGATGATTGGAAGACCGCCAATAATGCGTTTTGAATTTTTTAATTTTCTTAAATTTTATCATTTAAAATTTTTTTCTTTTTATTAATTTGTAACTTTTATTTTTTTTATAAAATAGAGAGAGAGAAAAAAAAATATTTAATTTTTTTTTTTTTCACGCAAAGGAGTTTTTTTCCCTTCGTTTCTTATTTTTTCTTACAAATTTATTTCCGTTATGGTTAATTCTTTTAATTAATATTATAATTTTCTTTAAAATTTTTTTTTTATTTGCCCGAAATGTAATTAATAATTTTAGACATATTTTCTTCTTTTTAATTTTATTTTAAATTTAGTTTTTTTTACATAAATTTGGAATGTTTTCAATAAGGTATTTTAAGATCGTAATTTGCTTATTTAAATTTAATATCGTAAAATAATTTTGTTTTGTTCAATTATTTTTTAAGAAATTTATATTTTGTATTTAATTTTATGCATTTTATTAACCTGTAAATGAAAAAAAAATATTAAGAATTTAGAATTTTATTATAAAAGCAAAAAGTATTTTATATTTATTTAAAAAAAATAATTTAAATTTAATATATGCGCTTGTACTAAACATTTTCGTCATTAACACACCATACGTGTATTTTCATAAAATAATTCTAAAGAGATTTTTAAGCTATACATCTCTGCTGGAGTCTGATACTTTTATGGGAACTATTTCTGTTCTCTATAACAATACGATCTCGTGCGAGCATTCAATACTCATTTGTGTCTATAATAAAAACAAAGCTCTGGGCCAACCTGCGGTTATATAGTTCTTTTCGTTTTCAAATGAGTATGTCCACAACGGGAGGGCTTTGGACAGCCGGTGCAGAAGAAAAAATAATGAATGAATTAATATACGTACATACATATGTATCGGAAATGTGGAGTCTACAATGTTTCATTCTTCACATTTATTACACGCTACCTTCTGTCGGATTCTTACCCGATTTAATTGTCAATTGAAACAATATTTAATCTTGAACAAAGGCCTTCGATGTTAAGATGCAGTATACTTATAATTTAAAAAACGAAGGAGGTCACATTTGAGGAAAATTTTTAAAAATTCAAACCTAAGTCATAATTATTCCAAAATCTTTATGCTTATAGAATTAATTTTAAACTTTTTTAAATTTAATATTAATTTAAAACTTTATTTATAAATTTATAAAATATTAGCCTTAATCTAGAATTATTTTCCTACCATTTTTACTTATGAAATCTTTTTATTTAGAAAATTATAAAAAAAACTCCAACTAAGTATTTCAGTTTTAAATGCAAATTAATTTGCCATTTTGCAATAAAAAATTCAATAAAAGAAAAAAAAATCAATTTGAAAAAATCCAATATTCTTGGGAATTTATACAGAATAAAAATTAGGAAATAACACACATACATTTGTACTACATACATTCATAATTTAGACTCTACATCCATATGCATATGTACATATGTATATTTATATCTAGCTTCTCTGTTATTTTTTATTTGGTAATTTTAAATGTACAAGTCGTAAAATGCCGCATGAATTTTTATGATATACAGGCTCTAAGGGAATAATTATATTGCACTTTAAAAGTATATGTAAGTATAAGAAGCATAAGATTTCTTTAATTTTAAAAATTTGATTAAAAACAAAATTACTCTAATTTATTAAATATTTTTGTGCATAAATTTAAAATATTGAATTTGTAAAGAAAAGAATCTCGGGACAACAAAAATTTTATGCAAAAAACTTTGTTTATTAAGAAAATTTATATTAATATTTTTATTATATTTTTTTATTCCTTGGAAAAGAGAATGTCCTCTGTAGAGATTTGATTTAGAAGAAAGAGTTTTAGAATTTAATATTATTAGTTATTCTCTTTTTACAACATGTTATCTGATTGCGGTAGCGATATCATCATAGTATTGTGATCGTAAGTAGTTTGAAATTAAATAGAATTTACCTCGAGTAATTATATTTCTTATAATGGAAACTTAACACATTATACAATTCCATATGCATCTAGAGTTTTCTACAGAATAAGATTGTTATACTTAAGTTTTTAGAACTCAAATAAATAATTTGCATTTTTCATTTTATTTATGCCATATTCAATGAATTGAGAAACATGCACATTTGTAAGATTCTATCTCAAATCACATTTCTATTGAATTCGAAGCATATTTGTTGCAATTTGGATGCAATCCTTTCAATTAAATAATAAATAATTAGCTTGTTCCCTCACAATTTACATGTATATATTGATAACTGTATTAGATAAAAGATACTTCCTTTTGGCACTTCCACGTCGTAATTTAAGTACAGAAAACTTATGCCAGATAATAAAAATTAAATTTTTTAAGAAAGTAATTCGAAAATTTTCCTATTTACTTATGGTGCACGCATTTGTTGAAATTAGAAAAAGTTATATATAATTTTTGAATTATAAATAATTTTTGACATTTTTTGATTGTATTCGGAAGTACCACCAAGAAAATTCGGAAATACACTTAAGTTTGTAATTATAGAAAAATAGTTATTCCGCTTATGTGTACTGAATATCGCTTATAACATGGCCATAATAGTGTTATATAAAAATTGTGAATATCAAAAATTCTCTAACAGTTATTTAATTAGCAGTAAATTTAATAATTTAATACTATAATTTTCATTAAATACTAAATCTAAGTTACTAAATTGAAAATAATCTTTAAAAATCAATTGTGAATGCTTAAATTTTATCACAAAAATATATAATTATTATTTATAAGAAAATTGGTCAAGATTTTAAAAGTAGCTATTAGGAATTTTCATAAACGCAATATATTGCATACTTATCGGGTTACATAAATGTTGCGAATCAATACTATACAATATTATATGAATACTTGGTGTAATTAAATCATCTGTACTGTACTGTTTTTACACAAATTTCAAAAATATGTGATATATATGCCTATACACACATGCAATATACTGCTTTCTTAATAAAAGCACAAAGTATTAAAACTATTATACAAAGAAAATTTAGAATCAATATTATTGTTATACATGCATTTATACAACTAGTTAATTATAATAAAAATTAATTTGAATTCTATAACAATAATAAAATTTAAATTTCGAAATAATTAATTAATTAAAGGGCAAAATTTAAAAAATAAAACAATCGAAAACTGACACAGATTTTTGCGCTGCATTAATTTATACAATAAACAAATTAATTAATAACGAATTTCATTCACAATATTCCGTTTTTTTTAATATTTCGTATACTTATACTTAATATTAGAAAGTATAAACGTGTTATATAATAAATTTTTATTTTATTTTATTCTTATTTATTTTGTAATCAAAAACTCGTTTAGAAGCATGAACACCATTAAGAATTTTAAAATTCAGATGAGATATTGATAAATAAAAAAATATAAAAGAATTTCTTTAAGCGATTTTATTTTATCTTTAAAAGTAAGTATAATAAAAAGTAATAAATCGATTAAACCGTAATAAGTGTTATATTAATATCAATACTAACTTTGGTAAGTATGCATGTATACTGTAATATAACGAGCATATTATATTCACGTATGTGTTCCCGTTAAAAAGTATTATACATTTTCGGAATTTCTTTGTTTATAAAACTTTTAATGGTATTTAATTATAAAATTGGTACTGGTATCCATAATTTTTATATTTTTTGAAATTTTCAGATTTTTTGGGTTTTATTTTCAATATGAAGTGTGTTTGAGATGAATAAGGGTAATATTACTTTTTTTATTCTAAATTTTCTACAAAAAAAAATATTTAGGGTGTATAATTTGATAAAAAGACTAGAAGCGAGAAATTTGGAAAACGCGTAGGGCGCCGAACAAGTCCAAACCGCACCTGGTTAACTGCAAATAAATAAACTTTAACAAAAAATATTGTGATAATAATTAAAACGACAACTTATTATCGTATTTATTATCGTGATTTATTTTAAAATAGGCTCAAATTTTGGATGCGTAGTATTATTGTCCGAAAATAACTTTAAAATATTTTTTTTTTCTCAGAAAATCAACACCAAATTTCACAGCAATAAGACGTATTTAACAAATTCTAGACATTTTTAACAATTGAAATAAAAAATTTCAACAATTTCCAAATTTTAGTAACTAAGTGAAAAATTTATGGAAAGATGTGAAATATCAAACGATTATAACATTATGTCAAGAATGCAAAATAAATAATGTTGTGGATGGCACTCATTGATTATAAGTGTGATGGGTTTTTCTGTAACGAATGGCAACAATAGTCCAAACGAATGTAAAATGCATACTAAAAAGTCGCATGCACGGGCCAATTGATGATATCCAGATTAAAGATGAAATGATAGTTATTGCCAGAGCCAGTTATGTTAACAATAAATGAATATTTAAATCCAAAAATATTAATTTAAATATTTTTTTCTAAAAATCATTATAGGAATACAAATTAGCCTTTATGGTACAATTGAGTCATGATAATCCACAGAATACGATTAATTAAACCTTAATTCAAATATTTCAAGTATTAAGTAATAAAAATTAAATTGAGTAAGTATATAAGCATATTAAATTTCATTTACACTTTTGCTTTCTTTCTACAATCACAATACAAAATTTTATTTTCAAAATTACGTCACATACATAGTTAATAATTAAATATTTTTAGTTATTAGCCACATATGTTATTAGCATTTTTAATTTTTAAAATGGCCTATAGTTTCAAATTACATTTCTTTCATTTTCATTTCTCTACGTATACATTTTTAGAATTACTTTGTATTATTAGAAACATTGTATAAATTAACAGAATTAAATGAAAAAATCTCATCATATTTTGTTTAAGTCCTTCAAAATACAACGTACCAGTTAATAATTATTACGATATAAAAAAAATAAGTAAGTATAAAGGTAAATAAATAATAAGTATTTTGTTTTAGGAAATTGTCCTTTGGTTTTCATTTTATTTTCGGAATTAATTATAATAAATGTATAAATAAAAATATTATTCAATGCATTTACGTGGAGGTTATTAGTTTATACATGGTGAAATTTCCGAAAAACTTAAAGTTTGTTGCTGTGTTCTGCGATTAGAATCGAACGTCCTTTAAATTTTGACAAATTCCATTTTGAATTTCGATGGCGTGCACGACTCCCTTTATTACAATGTCGCAACAATATGTGCTACGCATAAATCCGAATCAGAACTAAGTATAATATGTAAACACGAATGTAATATCATAAAATACCATTTTATTGCATACTTTTAGGATGAGAAAAAAAATTATTATACAACTACTCTGATATGGAAGCATAATATACCATTATTTCTCTGCTTTTATAGAAATTTCACAAAGCTAAAATTTCGGAAAAAAACGACGAACATCACAATTTTAACTTTGAGAAGTTGCATTATAATGGCAGAGAAAAAAACTTTGTTCGGTCAAAAT